GCTCCGGCCCTGGCAGGACTCCCAGCACGCACCGCGCCCGCTCGGCGCGATTGGCTCGGGCGACACGGGGGCCCGCAGGGCCCGCCATGCACCGCGCGCCCGTCGCCGGCTCTTCCCGCGCATGCGCCGCGGGGCCTAGTCGCTTCCCGGCATGCAATGCGGCGGCGGGCCCCTCGCGAGCGACGCTGGCCTCGGATCTTGATTCGCGGCAGAACCGGCCCGCTCAGAGATGGCAGGTTTTTTTTGTCCGTGGGCGAAGACGACTCACTTTTCCCAGCGTCGCTCCTATAACTAGGTTTTATTTTGCCAGAAAGAAATATGGCGGAAGCGGGAACGTGTCCGTGTTCCGTTTACGTCTTGGGGGGGAGAAAAAAACCCAAACCGGCCTCCATGTTTATTGAGGGCAGCCGGCCTACGTAGGGGCCTGCGCGTCCACGCTTGGGCCGCTGGGGCGCCATGTTTCTTGCGGGCGCGGGCGTTCCGCCGGCACCATCTCGGAGCAGGGCAAGGGAACTGCTGGCCGGGGGCGGCCGGAGGAAGGCGGGGCGGGCGCGAGAGCGTTCCCGCGAGGTTTGGGCTGAGTGGGCAGGGCCCGGCTGCCACGTCAGGCTGAAGCCGCCAGCTAACGGACCGCGCGGGCCGGGTGAGCGGGGAGCGGAGCGGGCGAGGGGTCCCTGGGCCATAGAGAGGGGAGCGCGCGCAGAGCGGCCTCCGGGGGCCTCCGGACCACCGAGGCTGCGCGCAGAGCGGAGCGCGCGTGCGGGGGGGGGCTCGCGGGCCGGCCGCCCCCTTTCGGGGCCCCCGAGGGCCCGCCGTGGGGCGGAAGGAAAGCCGGCCGTGCAGGGCGGCCCAGTGCGCCCTGGGACAGGGCGGCCCCGGCGAGTGAGCCCAAGCGGGTGGCTTCCCTTCCCGGAGAGAGGTGGCGAGGGAACGGGCATGCAGCGCCCTGACCGCTCTCCAGACTCCAAGGGAGGACGGCCTGAGTGGCTGGGCCACTCTGATCCTCCTCCTCGTCCTCCTCCTCCCTGACAGGACGACCACGATGGCTGCTGGGCGGTTGTTGCGGAGAGGCCGGCTCAGCGGTGCCCTCACCCTCGTCCTGGTGTGCACGACGCTGGTGGGGAGCGCCTCCTCCCAGCATGAAGGCCCCCATGGACACGCTCACGAGGACCTGCACCACGGCCACAGCCACGCTCAGCACGGCCACACGCACGAGCATATTTGGCATGGCGACGGGAGCCTCCACGAGGGCCACCACCACGGGCACTCGCACGGGGAACACCACCATGGGCACAGCCACTCGCACGGCGGCTCTCCGCACGGCCACGGGGACTTGCTTCACGGACATGGCCACGCGCACGAGGGCCCGCAGGACAGGTACAGCCGTGCCCACCTCCACGAGGACTCCCACCACCACCCGCACAGCCCCTCGCACGAAAATCAGGCCAGCAGCTCCGGTCAGTCACTTCCAAAGAGAGAGAAGCTGGAACCTCTTCAGTTGTGGATCTATGTGAGTGTTTGGACCTGTGGTTGGTGGGGGTTCCTGGCCCATTCTTGGTGCTGCTGCCTCTGGAGACACCCAGAATATTGCAGAAATCCCACCTGGGTTTTACTGCGGGGTCTGCAGTGCCGCCCTTGCAGGTGCCCCCAAAACCTGATATTTAAATCCCTCACCGTTTAAAATAATCAGTGAATGCATAGAAAGCATACATGAAAATTCAATTTTCTAGGAATTATACATAGTCTAATGAAAGCAGGGCATTGCAGGTGGCGCAGTGCTTTAAACCGCTGTGCTGCTGGAATGGTTGATCGAAAGGTCGCCGGTTCGAATCTGCACAACGGGGTGAGTTCCCATTGCTCCGTCCCAGCTCCTGCCAACCTTGCAGTTCGAAAGCATGCAAATGCAAGTAGATAAAAAGGAACCACTTCAGTGGGCAGGTAACAGCATTCTGTGCACTTCGGTGTTTAGTCATGCCGGCCACATGACCACGGAGATTGTCTGCGGACAAACGCTGCCTCCCTCGGCCAGGAAACGGAGATGAGCACTGCCCCCCAGAGTCAGGCCTGACTGGACTTAATGTCAAGGGGAAACCTTTACCTTTAACGAAAGCAGACCAGACAGCCAAATCTGTGTCCTTGCGAAGGTGACACTTACCCCCCTCCCGGCTCCAAATATTGAAAGCACTGCCAGTGTCCATCCAGTGGCACCACAGGAGGTGGCCTGTTGAGTTCCAGGGTTGCAAGATCGGTCTTTGCGCTTTTGAAAGGCAAAACGATTTCCATATGATTTATGATTTCCATAAGGCAGGCAAATAGCTTACAAGAGCACACCAGTCAGTGAACGGTAAAGATCCTTTTAGAGTGCGGTTTCTCTTGAAAACTGAAAAACAGCAGTTGACAGGAAACAGCAGTACTTCAGGCACGCCACGAGGAGGCATTCCGTGGAGAGGAGCAGCGTGCTAGGAAAAGTCGAAGGGAAGAGCTGGGGAAGAGCAACTCCGCGAGGAGACCGGCTCCAGCGAAGAAGCCGCAGCCTTGCCTCTGCGGAAGCTGAACAGGGCCGGGCAGGGCCGGGCAGGGCAGGGCATGGAGTGGCTGTCCCACTGAGGTGACTTGGTGGCACACGACAACCGTCGGGCGGGCCAACGGACTTACTCCAAAGGAGCATTAGCTGGGTTGTATCGGTAGGAATGTTGCGATTAATGTCGGGGTGTCCAGGAAACGTGCAGTAAAAGGTTTTGCTGAATAAGAGCCAGAAAGCCGACCCTTTCTTAGATTCTCGGATGTGCCTGCCGATCCAAAAAGGTTGGGGACCCCACTGAACAGGACTGAGATCCTTTATGGCCCTGTTCAAGCCACGTGCGCAGAATTGTGCCCAGTGCAGCCCGCCCCGTACTAGCAGCTTAAGTTTTCTATCTGAGAGAGATCAGAACTGCTATTTTAAATTTTTTACAGTGCGAGACTCTGAATTAATTACAAAATCCATTTTACTTTGAGAGCTTTCGTGGGAGCAGCTTCCCGAAAATGTGCTAACTTTTGAGATCTTGGGAGCTCTTTTGAGCAGGTGAGATGCTACAAAAATCACCGAGAGAGCCGGGTACAGGGAAGGAACAATAAGGGGTTCTCCTGATGTTGAGGTCACGGTGCTCGCCTGGTCAGAAGCTTCAGATGAAACGGAGGAGGGTCCGCAGACCGTCACAAGTTCTACAGCCCTCTGCTTCCGCTTGCTAGCTCAGTGGGCTGACTCCTGCCTGGAGTTGTTCGGACAGAAAAATGTGCCCCAGGTTTCTTTCAGTGCCTGGGGAAACGGGGAAGGCCTAGCCGAGCAGCACAAACCGCGAGCACCAGAAAGCCCTGTCCGCCTCGGAGGAAGCGGGACCCTGGCAGGGCGTCCGTGGGAGTCTCTGAGAGGGAAGGTGCCGCACGTCTTCGGCACGGCCCGGGGATGTCTCGGGGTCCGCGTCGGGGATGTGGACCTGGGACCCAGGCCTCCCCCCAGTTGCCGGCTGGGCGCAGGGGGCCGGACCCGCAGCGGTGGGGCTGGCTGTGCGCGTGGCCGCCCGGTGACCGCCCTCTCGGCCTCCCCCCCCCCCCGCAGGCCATTGGAGCCACGCTGCTCATCAGCGCCGCACCCTACTTCATCCTCTTCCTGATCCCCGTGGAGTCCAACACCTCCCAGCACCAGGCCCTCCTCAAGCTGCTGCTGAGCTTCGCCTCGGGGGGGCTGCTGGGGGACGCCTTCCTGCACCTCATCCCTCACGCCCTGGGTGAGTCGCCCGCCCCTGCCCCTGCCCCGCTGGCCGGCCGGCCGGCTGCGAGGGAAGGCTTGCTCCTCTCACTCCAGCTCTTTCTCCCCGCAGAGCCTCACGCCCACCACGGGGAAGACGCGGAGCACACCCACCTCCACGCGAAGCCCGCTGGCCACGGCCACTCGCACCAGGGTAAGGGGCGGCCCCCCCCACCCCACGGCCTTCGCTGGCAGCAGGTGTTGGGGGGCGCGGGGGCACCCGCCTCTTGCCGACGGCCGCGTGCGCTCCTCTTCCAGGTCCTGAGCACCAGCACATGCTGTCGGTCGGCCTCTGGGTCCTGGGGGGCATCGTGGCTTTCCTGGTTGTGGAGAAGTTTGTCAGGCACGTGAAGGGAAGCCACGGACACGGCCACGGACACCACGCTGGGCACAGCCATGGTGGGTATGGCGCAGCCGCAGCTGCAGCCGGAACCCGTCGGGGGAAGCCGGGGGGCTGCACAGGGCCGGCTGGCAGGGGCCCTCACCCCTGCTGCCCTGACGGTGTCCTTGGCCCCCGGTCAGCTCTGGGGAGCGCGGTGCCCTCCGAGCCACTCAGGGCCATGGCCACCGGGGCTTCGGCCATTGGAGAAGGAAAGGGGAGCCGTGTGGGCAGGGGACGCCCCCCAGTCTGCGCAGGCACCCCCAAACTCTCTGTGCAGCCCGGAGGACGGGCGGCATCCCTTTCACCAGCTCAGCCTGTGGTGTGCTCTGCCTGAAAGCAGCGTTCTAGCCCCGTTTGTGCCACTACATTCCTGGGGGGGGGGGCGGGTGTCTCCCTGCCCCTCTGGTTCTCCTGGCCCTCTCAACCCTCTCTGTAGCCGCCAAGAGCAAGAACAGCGATGACGAAGGCGAGAAGGCACCGGCTCGGAGACCCGTGGAAAAAGCAGTCCCCGGGAGGAAGGAGAGCCCCCCCGAGTCTGGTATGGGGGGCGGGGGCGAGTGAGCTGTCCGGCGGGTCTTTGGCCTGCCCCCCCCCCCGCTGAGGCGGTCCTCTTCTTCGGGGGGAGGCAGAGGGCCCCAGCTCACCGTCGGCTCTCCCCTCCTGCAGCAATGCGTGTGGCGGGGTACCTGAACCTGGCGGCCGACTTCGCCCACAACTTCACGGACGGGCTGGCCCTGGGGGCCTCGTTCCTGGCAGGGGCCACGGTGGGCGCCGTCACCACCCTGACGGTGCTGCTCCACGAGGTGCCCCACGAGGTGGGCGACTTCGCCATCCTGGTGCAGTCCGGCTGCAGCAAGCGGAAGGTAACCCGCCTCTCCCTGCGAGTCGCGCCCCGGCTTTGAAAGGATTCCCCCGTGTGCCCGGCCCGGCCCGGCCCGGCCCGGCCCGGCCTGAGGATTCTGGGTGCATCAGAGGCAGCCCCGTGAGCCTTCCGCTCATCCCTCTGGTGCACCCCCAATCCAGGGGAGCTTCCCAGGAGAGGGTGGATTTTCCAGGGGAGCGGTGTGGCTTGCTTGGTGCCCCCCGTGGGCTGTGGAGAGGGGTGCTCGTGTGGATTATTTTCAGGTCGTGTCTCAAGGAGAAAGGCTCTCCCAGGGCCGCTTCCATAGACTCAGTTAAGAACATATCCGGATGACCCGAGGGCGTGAGACACACGGAGAAAGGGTGGGGGGACAGATTCTTTCAGCAGGGCAGGCTGCAGGGCGATCCCGGGGACGCGGTTTCCTCGGCCTTCCAGACGTCTTTTGAGAAAGGCCCTCCTCCAAGGCTCCCGAGCAAACGAGGCTGTCGGGGACTAAAGGGAGGCATCCTGCAACGGAGGGCAAGCTGGTCCAGGACCAGAGGGTGGGAATCAATGGGAAGAAACTGCTCCCAGTTTATTTATCTACCACTTTCCTATGCCGTCACCACATGCCTCGGCATCTCGGGACGGCTCACAAGGCATACAATTAAAATACAATAAAATGATCTATATAAACAAATTCAGTAAAAGACTTTGAGACAAAAAACTGGAGACAAAAACAGTGACTGTTCAACAATAAAAGATTAGTTTTTAAAAGAGCAATTAAAAAGGTTTTAACCTGGCGCCGAAAAGAATATAGACTCGGTGCCAGGCGCACCTCTCCAGGGAGCACATTCCATAACCTGGGCACCACCGCAGAGAAGGCCCTGCTCCAGGTAGTTGTCCTTTTTATCTCCTTTAAAGATAATTAATAAGTACTAATTAGAAGCTAAGAATATTAGTATGAATAGAATATAATTAATAAATACTAATTAGAAGCTAAGAATATTAGTATGAATAGAATATAATTAATAAGTACTAATTAGAAACTAAGAATATTAGTATGAATAGAATATAATTAATAAGTACTAATTAGAAGCTAAGAATATTAGTATGAATAGAATATTAATATGAAACTAGAAATTTCATGGCAGTATAATATAGCTAGATGATTATTTCTTGCTAGCATTTGATGAAAGTCATGTCTGTTCAGCCTTCTGCAGATTTGATTACATAATTAAATGTATTAGAATAGTGTTTATAGAATTGCATAATACTATTGCGTGTTCTCCATTTCTCAGCAGTGAGATATTCCAGGGGCAGTATGGTTTAGTTTCCTTGTGATGAAAAGCCTAGAAGCTTATGATGCCCCTATAATATTTAGCTTATTTACAAATAAACAAGCAGGGCCTTTTGGAGCACTCTCATAGTCTGCATAAATTTCTGCATAAATTTCCGGAGATCAGCTGGTACGCCTCCAGTCCCCATGCTGTACCGTAGTTCTTTGTCCTTCCCAGCATTACGAGTCTCACCTGTCTTTCTTCAATGTACCCTTCTTTTCAAAATTAAAATAGTTCCTCTCCTTTGCCTCACTAACTGGATTGTACCATTTCTCAGACTCTGATAAGGGTGACTTCATCTAAAAGTTGGGGAAAGACAATTACAGTGTTTTAAATCAACTAATATTGTGAGCTGTCCTGAGATGCCATGCATAATATAAAAGTTTTAAATAGATAGATAGATAGATAGATAGATAGATAGATAGATTGATAGGCAGGCTCCCGGAGCAACCCCCGCAGATCTTAAGGGGCATGTAAGGGAAGAGGCGTTCCTTCAGGTATCCCGGTCCCAAGCCATTCAGGGCTTTATAGGTCAAAACCAGCCCCTTGAATTGGGCCCGGGCATCAACTGGGAGCCCGTGGAGCTGGTGGAGGACCGGCGTTATGTGAGAATAACGACCGGCCCCCGTCAGCAGCCTGGCAGCTGTGTTCTGAAGTATCCGGACCATCTTCAAGGGCAGCCCCACGTAGAGCGCATTGCAGAAGTCCAGTGCAGAGAGTTCACTCGTGGAGTTCTTTTGTATCAGGAGCTGCGCTTTCCCAACTGCTCATGAATGATCCGGCATTAGGATAAGGAGTGGCCGAGCTGGCTGATGGCACTAAACTTTTTAGGCTGGTCAAAACCAAAAGTGGGAGAGCCACAGGATCCCTCCGAGCTGGATCAAAATCGCGTATAAGCAGGTACGGTAGACTCCCAACTATCCGGCCTAATGTGGCAGAAGGGCAGGCCAGATAGCAAAAAAGCCGGATAGGCCGGAGTTCTAGAAATGCTCACTTCCTACCCCATCCGTATCATTAAAAACACCCTTTTTATACCAAAACACGCTCTTATTCATATTTTCTGACCTCTTAGTACAGGCCAGTATTTCATAAATGTTTGTTATGTACTGCACTGTACGTTTTAAAAATTTAATACAGAAAAAGGAAGTCCAGGGATAAAAATCGTGTACACATGTTAAGGTAAATTTTATAATGTCTAACTTAATTGCAGGAAATATAAAATCATGTACACTGTACAGTATGAATAGATGCACTTTTAAAATAAACAAAACATTAACATAAAACGTAGACTTAATTCTTACAAAAATTATTTAAACTTATTTTACTGTTGATTGATAGTTATTTTTTAACCAGGCCAGATAGTTAGGAGGCCGGATAGTTGCAAGCCGGATAGTCGAGAGTCTGCTGTATACAGTAATACACGCGGGGGCCAAAGAAAGCCCCCTTCGAGGCTATTCTAACGGGATTGGAGCCTAGCAGTGGCTGGGCGGGAAGGGGGTTTTGGAAGCGATGGGCACCGTGATGAAAATGTCGGCCTTGGGCACCGCTGCTGTGAGGAGGGCTTGGCTAGGAACGGGGTAGAAGGTACGGCGGCCACCGTCGTGCGTCCCTTGCGCAAATCGCTGGGGTGGCCGCACTCAGAGTCGTGCGCTCCGTTCTGGTTGCCTTACCTGAAAAGGGCATCCTCGAGTTGAAAAGGGTTCAGAGCAGGGCAACGGGAACGATCGGGGGGCCGGAGCCGCTCCCCTGTGAGGAGCGGCTGCACCAACCAGGGGGCTGTTCAGCCGCGGAGGAAGGCAAGCCCGGGGAGAGAGAATAAAGAGGCTTTATTATTCTGGGTGTGGAGAGGGAGGCGTGCTGCTTCCTTTCCCATAATGGTCGGCCCCCCGTGGGGCCATTCTGTGGGGCAGAGTACGGGGAGATTCAGGGCAGATTGAAGGAAGGCCTCCCTCCCCCAGTGTACGGTTAATCTGCGGAACTCCCCGCCTCAGGAAGTGCTGCCCGTTGGAAAGGGGATTGGACGAACGCATGCCAAGGACTCTGCGATGGGCACGTGGTCCCTGTTAGCGGAGGCGGCCTGCCTGCGTTCCCAGTTGCTGAGGAGCTTGGGCAGGCAGAGGTCTTACGCCCGTCCTGCCGGAGGGGTCCTGCGGGCAGCTGGGCCGCCGCTGTGCGTGCGGAGTCCCGGGCTGGCCTGCTCCAGCAGGGCTTGCCTGGTGTGGCTGAGGCTGAGGGCTGCACCCCAGTGCTTCTGGAAGGCGCCAAGCTGGGGGAGGCTGGTTGGTTTCCCTCCCCTCCACACCCCCCGTGACTCTCCCCTCTTGTCCTCTCTCTCCCGGCTTGGCTAGGCAATGAAGCTGCAGCTGGTGACGGCCCTGGGGGCGCTGGCGGGCACCGTCTGCTCCCTGCTGGCCGAGGGCGTGGGCGAGGCGGCCACCGCGTGGATCCTGCCCTTCACGGCGGGCGGCTTCATCTACGTGGCCACCGTCTCCGTCATCCCGGAGCTGCTGCAGGAATCCGGGCCGGTGCAGTCCCTGCTGGAGGTCCTGGGCCTGCTGGGCGGCGTGGCCATGATGGTCTTCATCGCCCAGTACGAGTAGGCGGGGGAGCCGGCCACGGCTTCGGGGGCAACGGCGTCCGGCAGCGCTCGTTCCGTGACCGAAGGGGACAGGATGCCGGACTTGACTATTCCCACCTTGCTTTATCCCGCGCAGAAGCCAAGAGCGAACCTACGAGCCCAGACGTCGCATCTCTCTCCAGCTCCCTGGCGCCGGCCACTCTTTCGTCTCAAGCCCCGATCGCCGCCTCTTCTACGGGGCACTGCAGGGGTGGTGGGAGGAGGAAGGCAGTCTGGGGCTCCCGAGGGCCAACTTGACGGTGGGGATGCCTTTTCTGCAGGGCACAGAAGGAATCGGGGGGGGGGGGTGGGGGAGACTGTTGGCAGCTGGTTGCAAGGACTTCCTGTGTGGTGGCGGGAGCAGTGTGTGCCCTCGTTCTCCTGCTGGAGGTCTGGGGGGGGGATCAGGTCTCCTGCCTCCTCTGCCCCCAGTGTTTGGGGGCGGGGGGCAGAATAATGGACAAAGGGACCAGAACAGAAGAGCAGGCACTGCTGTGAGACGCCTGCGCGGCTGAGTGTGACTGGGTCGGGGGGGGGGGGGCGGATCTCCCGGCCTCCAAGGCCAGGCGATGCCGCAGCACAAGTGGGCTGAACCGGGCGTTGCGAAAGGCCGCTGGCTGGCCCTTTTCCCGCTGACCCCGCAAACGGCACCCGAGGGGCAGCCGGCGCGGCCAGCGCATCTCCGGCTGCTCCTGCTTGCTCCGGGCTGGGAAGCGTCTCCTGATGGACAGACGGACGGACGGACGGACCGGGAGGCCTCACTGATACTCGCAGCGACGGTAGTTGGAAGGTAGAACCTCTGTGTATAGTCTTGGGTTTTTTGCATTTTTGTAGGGGTGACTGGGCGTGCAACGGGACCATGATTGTAACGGGGGGCGGGCGGGCGGGCACGGGAAGAATCATTAAAACTCGCGATGGCAAGCTCGACCGTGAGAAGAGTTGCTTGTTGTTCGTGCGCCGGGCGGGAGGGGGCGCTGCGCCTCCTGGAGAGCGGCCAGCGGGGCGCGGGCTGCGGGAGAGGTACCCGCGCAATGGATGGATCCGGGAGCCGGGCCCCCAGTCCGCCCCCCCCCCCCAGTCGCTGCGCCCCGAGGGCGTCGCAGGAGCCGGGACCCCGCCCCTCCCGGGCTGCAGCCTGCCGGCTTCCCCGCCGGCTGCGCGGGGGCGGCCCGTCTGGCCGGCGGCTCTATGGCGCGCGCTTCCGGGCGGGGCGGCGCACTTCCGGCGGCATGGCGGCCCCCCTGAGGCTGCATGGCGCCCTGGCGCTGGTCACGGGTGCGCGCGGGGGCCCCGTCCCGGGGCGGGGAGGGGAGGGGAGGGGGGCCCCCGGGGGCGGCGGGGGGCCCGCCCCGCCCCGCCCGCGCGGGAGCCCCTCTGAGCGTGCGCCGTCCCGCAGGCGGAGGCAGCGGCATCGGGCGGGCCGTGTGCGCGCGCCTGGCGCGGGAGGGCGCGGCGGTGGCCGTGGCGGACCTCGACGAGGAGGGCGCGGCGCGCACGCTGCGGGCGCTGCCGCCCGGGGAGCACGAGGCCTGGCACGTCGACGTGGGCTGCGCCGGCAGCGTGGCCCAGCTCGCCGCCCGCATCCAGGTCGTACCGCGGGCGTCCGCCCATCCTGCGCCCCGGCCCCTGCGCCCGATCCCCGGGGAGCGGCCCTGCTGCGCGCCCCGCCCCGCCCCGCCCCGCCCCGCCCCCCTTTCCCCGCTCCCAGCCCTCTGCGCCACCCGAGTGCCCAGATGCGCGAGGACTGCGCGACCCAGCATCCACTGCCCAGCCCGCAGTAGGCTGATCGCAAAACCGGCTGAAGGACCGTGGCACTAGCCTTGGCAAGCTGGGCATCCCTGCGGGGGGATAAGGATGCCGCCGGCTCGGGTTAGCCGGCAGGGGGCTGGTGTTGGTCCAGCAGCGGCCACTGGCATTAGCACGCCTTGAGAGCACTGTGTTCGCAGCAGTGAGAAACTGCAACCATCGGTTAAGTCCGTGGGTCCCATTGTGGGAAATTGTGATGTACTTGCGTGTTCCCTAAGGCCATAGCAGGGCCCTTCCTCCACACGCTGCCCTCCCCAGCCTGGAGAGGGGTCTTCAGCAGTGGCGCCTTGGCTGTAAAACGTTTTCTTGCGGGAGGCTGAGCTTTCTCCCATGCTGATAGTCTTCTGCGGCGGGATAAGCACGCTTCTTGCACTTAGCCCCTTCCATGATCGAATGGGCCCAGTTCAGCATTAACTGTGGACGGCTTGGCCTTGCCTGGGCAGGTGGCTGGAGCGGTTTAACTGACTCACCGGTGCTGGTGTCTTGTGTTGGGGTTGGCTCTTACACGTAACTGGTGCAAAAAAAAACTGGAGGCAGAAGCAAACCCTTTGGTATGGCCCGCTGGGCCATGCTGGGAGTTCTCTGCACATGCCTAGGATTGGACTGGTGATCATAAACACTGCTAACAGCCTCACGGAACAGGAGCATTCCCACTGGCTCCTCGGCACCGTCAGCAGCAAGGCTAGCCCTGCCCCCTTGTTCCACAGTTTGGGGGATGCCACAGAGAAGGCCCCGTGGCTTGTTCTCACTGACCTGGTCTCTCCTGGTGTGGAACATAAAGTCCGGGACCTCCAGGGGGGCAGCTTCGACCTGAAGGCCCTTTGCTTGCCCGGTTGGCTAGCACGGCGATGGAGTGTTCTGGGTGACCTTTCCTTGTTGCAGTGGCCACACCGGGGGCTCAGCCTCGAAGGTCTCTCCTTACTGGGGCTGCCGAGCTTGAGCCATTCAGCCTCGACCAGCCGGGTGCCCTCCCCCCCCCCCCCGGGATGTGCTGCAGCTCTGCTCGTCCCCAGCCAGCACGTTTAAAAAGTAATTTAACTGGAGTGATCGTTTAAAAAATAATTTAACTGGGTAAACAGTGCCTTAAATAGGAAGTGATTTTTATTCCATATTCTATGAAAAACCTGCACAGACCAAACCTGGGGGGATTCTTTCCAGTTTTTACCCCACAGGTGCCATCTTGGCACATTGGCTGCCTGGTTCTGTAGGTTTTTCTTTTACCCATGTGGCATTTGACTCAATCAACTAATTGATTAATCAGCTAAAGCTCTGAGGGTATTTAGTTCAATTTTTTAAAATCCTGTTTCATTGTCCAAGTTCATACGCAGCAAATTGTCCTGGTTGGTTGGCCTGCCAGTCCCAGCATCCCCCAGCTCCTTGACTGGGCGTTGTAGTCCATCTTGTCTGGAGAGAGCCAGCTGGGCGAGGCGGGAAGTTCAGCCCTCCTGCCCGGCAAATCCAGAGGCGTCTGCCTGGGGCTGGTCGCCTGCTGTGCTCTCTGTGGAAGAGAAGAACTGAATGCAGTTCCAGTTTAATCAAAGGAGAGTTGCAGTCCTAACAGCTTTTTATTAAAGCCACTGAAGGGAGAGGAGCTGGGCCAGCGCCCCTTTTGCAGAAGCACAGCTTTTTCTAGGCCACCTCAGATATCTCTGGCCTCTCCTTGGAACATAGAAACAGAGCGAGTCAGAAGGGGTCTCCCGGGCCATCTAGTCTGCCCCCGCCCTCCCCCCCCCCCGGCTCCAGCTGGAAATGGGAAAGAAGGGGCTCGGTCTCACAGATAGCGATTGCATGGTGACTTTTCATGTTTTATGTCTGGGGATTTCATCGTACAAATGCCGCTTCGCTAGCAGCCCGGCCTTCGCTAACCTCTCGGATCACCTCTCCCTCCCAACTGCAGGCCCGCTTTTCCCGCCCCGCCAACGTCTGCGTCAACTGTGCCGGCATCACCATGGACGAGTTCCTGCTCAAGCAGACGGAGGAGGCATTTGACGCCGTTCTCCGGGTGAACCTCAAGGTGCCTGGCCGGCTGGGGGGGGGGGTGTGTGGGGGGGGGGCCTCCCGGCCCCGGGAGGCGCTGCAGCTGTGTTTCTCCTCTGCTTCTTTTCAGGGGACGTTCCTGGTGACGCAGGCGGTGGCCCGGGCCCTGGTAGAAAGTGGCGCACCAGGGGGCTCCATCATCAACCTGGGCAGCGTGGTGGGGAAGGTGCAGTGAGCAGCTCCTGACCGGCCGGGCCAGGCCTGGCCCTCGCGTGGCCCGTGGGCCGGGCTTGGGCTCGCTGTGCCCTCCCCCACACCACCCTCTCTTCTCCCCTGGCCAGGTGGGCAATTTGGGGCAGGTGAACTATGCTGCGTCCAAGGCCGGGGTGGAGGCTCTGTCCAAGACCGCGGCCAAGGAGCTGGCCAGGTAAGCCCCGTGCCAGGAGGGCGCCCGGCACTGCACGGAGGGGAGTGGGCCCCCCGTGGACGTGCTTCCAGGCAGCAGGTTCTTGGGACGGAGGGCCCGCTGGGGGGATCCCTGGAGCCACCTGAGACCGCTTTTTCCCTCTTCCCTCCTCATCCCTTGTTCCTCTTGAGCTGCACGTCTCTTCGGCAGTAAGCCAGTAGGCAGAGCTGCCTTTGTACTGTTCTTCTGAGAGCCACTCTGGGAGCTGGAGCACAAACACAGACACTTCTGAGCAGCCTACAAACCACTCCACACAAATAGCAAGAGCACAAACGCTGCACCAGGTGGACCGTTGGCCTGGTGGCTGGCGAGGAGACAGCTCCCCCTTCCTTGGCAGCCATTCATGCCCCGCCAGCGCCGCCTCAGGAGGGCTGGTGTAGCCAGGTGCGCCTCCCAGCCCCACTAACCCCACTCCCTGCCACCCCACAGATACCACATCCGCTGCAACACGGTTCTGCCTGGCTTCATCCGCTCTCCCATGACCGACAAGGTGCCCCAGAAAGTTCTCGACAAGGTCGGTGTCCTCCCTTGCGGCTCAGAGTGGGGCTCTGGGAGGCCCAACCGGTTTCTCCATGGGGCAGGGAGGAGGGGGGGTCCCGCAGCTCCCCTCGTCTCGCAGGCGCTTCCGTGACTGCCTCGGAGCAGGCGTGGGTCCGCGTTTCCCGTCCTCACTTCTGGGCTCGTCTTGTTCCTTCCCCCAGTTCGTGGCGATGGTGCCGCTAGGAAGACTTGGGGAGCCCGAAGGTCAGTTCCCCGCCTGGCGGAGGCCCTCTGGGGTGGGAGGCGTGTGGGGAGCCAAGCTGTGGGGGCCCCAGGGCTCTTTGTGGCTCTCCGGGTGGCGGGCCCCCCCCCCGGCAGTTCCTGCCCACTGGAGCGGATGGTCCTGGCGGCCTGCCGATTCACGCAGGAGCAGGGCCGGAGGGCAGCCGTCCGGGAAAGCCCAGCACGTGCGCTTCTGGATGGGGCGCACAGGCTTCCTCGACCCTGCTGCATCTCCTGAGCTCGGGGGATCGGAGGGGAGGCCCTGGAGTGAACGGGCAGCCAGGCTTGGGCGGGGGGGGTGTGGGCGACCCAGGCACTCACCCTCAGGCCCGCCTCCTGCCAGATGTCGCCAACGTTTGCGCCTTCCTGGCCTCGGATGAGAGCAGCTACATCACGGGAGCCAGCCTGGAGGTGACAGGTGAGGGGCCGGCGTGGCCGGAAGCCACCTGGCACGGCAGAGCGGAGTGGGGGGCGCCACCTGGAGCCTGGCAGTCACTGTGACGGCCTCCCCCTTGCTCCCCAGGGGGCCTCTTCATCTGACTGGCCCGCTTCTCCACGCCTGGAGCCTCCCAGGACGACACTCCTCGACCGGGCCGTGTGCAAGGAGGGCTTGTGGGTCCCCCCCCCCCGCCCGGGGCCAGGGCGCTGCACTGCGGATGGTTTCAAAGCCTTGCCCCGAGGCGTTGCGACAGGAAGGAGCCGTTTCTTCTCCGGGAAGGAGCCGTTTCTGCGGTGAGCCATGCCCAGGTCGGGCCAGCTGCGGCCCGGCCCTCTCCCACCAAGGACCGTGCTAAGATTTGGCCTCGCGTCGTCGGGCGCAGGGCTCCCTCCCCTCCGTCCGGGGGGCCGGTGCCACTGGTCGACCTCCGCCGATGATTCATCTGCTTCCTCACAGACTGATCAGCACTTAATCATGTTTGAAATAAAACGCACTCGGTGCCTTGACGGAAGCGGCTTTTGGAAAAGCTGGGTGTCCTGGGCAAAAGTCACTGCTCTCCACTTGAAGCCCCTTTTCGGAGTCCTATTTTCATCTCAGTTTAAAAGGAAAGATGCAAAAGGAGCAGGGCAGCAGGAGCTGCCAGACCTCTTGGACTCCAACGCCCAGCATCCCAGCCAGTGCAGCTGGGTATTGGAGTCCACAATGTCTGGCGGACAGTTGCTTGGTGAAAGCCGGAGTGCAGTGCAGAAAACATGAGCCTGCTGTTTATCCCGGAAGCATCAACTCAGTCCTTCATTGTCCTGTTTCGCTGGCCTGCTAGCAGGCCTCTCTCTGTTTCCCTTGGAGGGGGGTACGCCGCTTCTCCCACACCCCAGGCCTGGAGTGGGGCAGTCCAGGGTGGCCTCTGCCACAGGAGGCTCCTGCCTGCATGGCCTCCAGGGTACCTCCCGCCCTGTGGGGCCTTCCCACCTGCATTAGGATCCAGACCAGACGAGGAGGCCCGCCTGGTGCCGGCTGCCCAGGAGTTCCCACAAGCAGGGCATGCGTCCAGCTATGCCTGCCCGCTCCCCAGCAGGTGGCACACAGACCGGAGGGAGCATTCAGCCATGAGGACTAGTAGTGCTGGATACCCCCCTCCGCTCCACCAGGAGTCCATACGGAGCGTGGTGGATGAAGGATGGCTTTTCTGCCACAAAACCGGGACCCGGGGGCCTCTGCGGCACAGCCAGGTGTGTGGCAAAGCCCCGAGGGCCTCCCTGGGGGAAGCTTGCGTGCCCCCCACCAGTTCTGTCACCCACAGTCTGTGCACGGAAGCGTAGACTCAGAATTGTGGAGTCAGCAGCTGAGCTGGAGGGGGCCCGAAGGCCATCCAGTCCAGCCCCTGCTCTTGCAGGACACCGGGTCACACAATCCCCTCCGGGTGCCTGTCCAGACACTTTCTGGAGGCCTCCAGGGAGGGGGAGCCCACCACCTCCCCAGGTGATCGGCTCCACTGCCGCACTGCTCCAGCAGCCAGGAAATTCTTCCCGGGGCCAAGCCTCAGCCTGGTTTCTTTCACGTCTGTTACTCCACATCCTGCACTCTGCAATGGCCCGGAGGAGCTCTCGTCCTGCCAGGACGAGAACAAGTAGAGGGCTGTCGCGCCTCCCCTCCGTCTCCTCCTCCTGAGGCTGAGCACGCCTGGATCTCTCGGTCTCTCCTCACGCCAGCGGGGGCTGCGTGCCTGTGCTTCCCCAGAGGCACGGAGAGCGTGGTAGGACACCTGCCGTGACGACAGCCCGTGCCGGGACTGTGAATTCGCAGCCTCCGAAGTGCGACGCGGCGTGCCGAGCGAGCCGCAGAGGACGCGGGTGTTGGACTGGAGCGCTTCGGTGGGCTTCCGCTCGTCCAGGCGAGTGCCCGTGGGGCCGGCCCCACGGACGGCTTCCACCACGGTGCGTCCCAGGCCGGCACACGGCCTGGTGGTCCCGCAGCCCGGGGAAGGCCCAGGGACAGAGCGCAGCCGGCGGCTCCCTGCTTCTCAGGCTGTGGGGTGGTGGGGGCCGTGCCAGGAGGCCCCTCCTGCTGCGCGTGCGCCCAGGCGCCCAGGCGAGGGCACTGCCAGGCTCTGCTTCGGGGCTCCAGCGGATCGGGCGCAAAAGCCACCTGGAATCCAGGCCAGAGTTGGAGAAGTGCCGGCGCGGCCCAGCTCCTCGGCAGCCGCCTTCGCTCTGACCCACGGCGGGTGCAATTCCTGGACACACAAAGCTTTATGCAGATGGACCAGGCAGAGAGAGAGAGAGAGAGGGAGTGTGTGGGGGGGGGGATCTTGCACTAGCCCTCATTCTTCGGAGCCTGGACTCGGCCCAGGAATGCAGTTGCAGCCGCATCTTTCTCAAGCGCAGGCTCCCCCCTCCATGTCTCTCACATTCTCTCTCTCTCTCTCTCTCTCTCTCTCTCTCTCTCTCTCTCTCTCTCACACACACACACACACACACACACACACACACAGCCCCCCGGTGTGTGCAACCCCTGGCTCCCATGTGGCACACCTGGGTCCCCTCGTCTTGCTACGCCTGGGGGATTAGGGCTGGCCAGGCACTAATTACTGTTTGCCCAAGGGATTATTGGGGTGTGCTCGGGAAGCGGGTGTGGGGCATCCCAGAGGGCTGGGGAGGCGAGGATTAGCCGGAGCGGTGACAGCCGGCTCCTGCGGGGCGCCCTCCGCCCTCGCGACCCGCCGCGGCCAGCCGAGCCTCCCACCCTGCCCGGGGTGTACGTGGACGGGCCCATCCGTGGCCGGCGCCTGGAACGTGGCCTCGGGGCTGCTCCCACTCCAGCCCGGCCTCATGCGGGTCCGAATGCGGCACCCGCCGGTGCCCCCGTGTCCCGCTCTGGCCCCACGGCCGCCCCGCTCCCTCCTGTCCCCACAGCACTGGTGGGAGCCGAGGCTGAGCGCAGGCCGTGGCCCGAGTCCCCCGGCTGAGCTTCCCGGCCGAGCGGGGACCAGGCACGGGGTCTCCGTGCCCAGGTTCCCCGTGACTGAGGCGAGGAGAGCTCTGAGGCCGCACCCGGCGGAGGGCCCCGCTCCGGCCTCCTGCGCCCGTTCCCCCCGGCGGCCCCAGATGGAAGCCCGCAAGGAGGACCCTCCGGACCATCGCCCCGTGCCGCAGATCGCCACCCGTCGGTTTGAGTCCCCCCCAGCTGCACGCCGATTCCGAGCCGCGGGAGCCCCCGTGGCCCCCGCCGGGGCAGCGCGCGCGGAGGGAAAGTGGCCCCAGCAGCTTCTGGGTGCTCGGCCGGGTTGGCGAGGCGTGAGGGCCTGGGTTTTCGCCAGCCCGGCTCGCCTGCTGAAATGCGGGCACGGGCCATGCCGGGCCGGGCCTCCCCGGGCAGCTGGGCGCACGAGATCGCCGAGGTCTCCGGGCTGAAAGCCCCGGGGTCCGGAGAGGCCCAGGGGCTGCAGAGCTCCAGGCCGGGAGGCCGCTCCGCCCGAGCCGGCTCCTTCCACGAGGGGCCCGCGGAGTTGCCTCACGGGCAGCGTCACGCCGAGCCCGCCAGAGTCGGCCAATCGCCCTCTCGCCTCCGGCGTAATTTGTCTTCCCAATTTGTCATGTCAGGAAGTTCTGCTCCGGCAAATCTGCGTCTTGGATGAACGTTGTCAGTTTGCGGGGGGGGGGGGGAGTTGAATGTGTTTATCCGTTCTGCAGCTGCCTTTTCCGCAAAAGCTTCCACCCGATTCCCTGAAAGGACATTTCCCTTTCCCTGAAAGGAAATGAAATGAAATGAAATGAGAATGATTCTCTGAAAGCATCCCGCCGATTTTATTCGTTCATTTAGTTCTTAGATTTATATCCCGCTTTTTTCCTTGGAAGAACTCCGTGTGGCTTCCATCATTGTGAGCCGCCCCGAAGCTTCGGCGAATGGGGCGGCATAAAAATGTTCTAATAAAAATAAATAAATAAATCATGCTTCTCCCCCTGCTCTCAGTCTTATGCTTGCAACAACAACCCTACGAGGTAGGTTGGGCTGAGAGTCTCCGACTGGCCCAGGGTTGGCTCCAGGGCAGGGCAGGCCAGGGCAGGGCCTCGAACACAGACTGCCTGTGTCCCGGCCCCACGCTTCAGCCACCATACCACCCTGGCCCCCAGGTTGGACTGCAATTCCCATCATTCCTTGGCAGCTGGCTGGGAGGGCTGCCTTATGTTAGCGCCCCCCCCCCCCCCCCACCCGGTGAGGCAGCAGGCCTCAGGAAGCACTGGGCCAGCCTGCTTGGGGAGGGCTGGGTGGTCCCCCCCCATGCCGCCCTCCCCGTCCCTTTGGCCCCGGTTGTGCCCTTTGCTGGGGCAGCCGCTCTCCCCCGGGGGGCTCCCTCCCTCGTGCTCCCCGAGGCAAAGTGTGGGGGAGCCGTGCCCCGCGGTCCCCTTCCCGCCGTGGGGCTGGCACGGCCTGCCTCTCCCCGCTCTCCTCGCTCGGCCTAGCCTGGCTCATTGCATCGGGGAAGGAGGGGGATTAGGGTTAGGGGAGCGGGGGAGGCGCGGGAGAGGATTAGCCGGGGGTCTCTCCCCCCACAGCCCTATTCTCTGGCCCCTGTTTGAAGCCACCGGCTCCAATGCTGCCCATTCAAACCCTCATCACCCCGGGCAACGGATGGGGGGCATAAAAGGGGACAGAGAGTCCAGAAGCCAGGCCCCGCCCCCGGCACAGCACAGGGTGGGTGCTCCCGACCCGCTGGGGGGTCCGCGGCCCTCCTCACCCTGCTGCCCCGCGCCCCCCACCCGCGGCTTCCCGCGGCCCCTCTCCTCATCGCCACAGCAACTGCGTCCCCCCAGCAGCACCGGGGTGACCCCCTTCTCCCTGGGTGGCTCTCCAGCCCCGCTCTCCCTTTCACAGGGGTGGGAGGGGTTTCCCCCATTGAGGCGGCCTCGCCCTATTCAGCCGCTTCCCTCCTTTCTCCCCCCATATCTTGGGCCTATTGTGGGCACAGCTGCACAGACAGACCCCTCGGAAGCCCACACTGGGGAAGGGGGCGGGGAGGCAGTCTCCCCCAAAGGCAGGCGGATCCATCGAGCCGCGTTGCCGGCGGCGAGACCCCCAGAAAGGAGGGCTGGCGGCCACGGCGGGGGAGGGCCCTGTGGGGTGGAAGCGGGGCGAGGGAGCGTGGCCACGGGGACCGGCCAGCCAAGTCTCCAGCTCCGCGGAGCAGCTCCCCTGCCTGGAACAACTTTCGAGGACCTGTTTCGAGGGGCCTGGGATGGGCTGCAGCCGGAGGGCACAGCGGGGGAGGCGGGGGGGGGGGGGCCGGGGGCAGGCTCCGGCTCGGGACCTCGCTGGGTTTTGTCATGGGGGTGCTGCTGTTGCGGGGGGCCCAGGGAATGGGTCCAGCTTGGGCCCCTTGGAAGGCCTCTGGAGCACAAGGCCCACTGGAGTCCCCCTGATGGTCCCCAGCCGTGGGGCTCGGATGGGAGGCTCTCAGGCAGACACTGCCAGGCACGGGGACAGATCTGGGGGTCCCTCCGAGGGATCAGCGAG